AGCATCTTAAAGAAGCAGCACACTTGTTTCCCCTTCTTCCCTGGCGATGCAGAAGGGGTGCCAGACAGAGGTGACACACTAGTGGGGTGCCAGACAGGGGTGACCCCATGTGACCCATAGCAGGAGCCGGTGCATGCTGCCTGAACAGCTGGGGCTGTGGCACCCAGTAACTTAGTTCTGCGGCCTTTCTGCGCGGTGGCAGGGAGGTCAGGAGACCCGGGTCTGCGCAGCTCTGACTGTTCAGGCAGTGAGCTCTGCCCTGGGACACCTTCCCCCCGCCCCACTTCCACAGGATGGTATCGTGGAAGTAAGTTGCTGGAGTGCAACAGCCGCTGCTGTTCAGGCAGCGTGCACGCCAGCTGTTTGGGGAGGGGAAGTGCAGTCGCACACTTCCTGGAACCCAGAGGTGTTGCAGGATTGCTAGGTACTGGTCCCAGATGCTCCTGTCCTCTTCCCAGACCCCCCACGAGTACCCTGTCCACACCAGCACTGTTCCCAGTACCCAGCAGCACCCTGCCACCCACCCCAGTGCCCAGCAGGACCTTGTCCCTGACCCCAGCCCCCCGCCCCAGCACCCCACCACCTGTGCCAGCATCCTGCCACCCAGCAGCACCCTCTCCCTGGCTCCAGCACCCATCAGCACAATTGGGACCACATTAGTGAGGCTTGGGGGTTTTGGAGGGGGTGTTTTTTTTGGCATCTCACTTGTGTGGCCCCAACTGACTTTTTTCTATGGGTCAGTGACCCTTGACTCAAAACAGGTTCCCCGCCCCTCTCATAAATAAAGACAATGCTAAAACCGTTTGAGTTTGACATAATATTTTATTTAAAAATTAAGCTTGGCCAACATGCCCCCAATTGGGGCCAAATCCCCATAACACTCCTGCTCCACCTGGCCCCAAATCTGAGCCTATCATACACTGGAACCCCCCAAATTCCTACATCCCCGGTCTTCTGCCACAACACTCCTGCACAATCCACACATCACAAATCTGTGTCCGGAGCCCATTATACTCAGTCTCCTTGCTCTGAGCCCCTCACATATCCAACCCAAACTCCTGCACCCTCACATCCACAAATCTGTGACTTGCTCAGCACCCCAACCTTCCACCTGAGCCCAACACTCCGCAGCCTAGAGCCCCCTCCCCGAGCCAACATTCCCTTCTCCTGCATCCAAATTCCCTCCCAGAGCTTGCACTTCTCACCCCTTCCCATACCCAAATCCCTCATTCCCACCCCAGAGCCCACAACTCCTGTCTCAACCCAGTGAGAGTGTATAAGGGCTGGGGATAGCAAGTGATGGAGAGGAGGGGAACAGAGAGGATGGGGCTTCAAAGGGGTGGGGTCTTGGGGAAGGAATGTGATTTTCATGCATTGGTGGGTTCCCCTTTTTTTGGCTTGACAAAGCTTGGAGGTTCCTTGAAATTCTGAAAAGGGTCCATTGCCAAATAAAATTGAGAAACACTGATGTGGAACATGGTTGTTGTGTTGTCCGTTAAGATCCATACAGTGAGGTTCACAATGTTGGGAGCAAAGCATCTGAAGTGTTCCTGACCGCTCAAAGTTCGAGGAGATTGATATGTAACAGTTTCGTGCGGTGACCATCTCCCCTGCACTTTGTGTTGTCGAATGTGTGCTCCCCATCCTATTAGTGAGGCATCTGTGGTAACTTATACTGATAGTTCAGGCTGCAGGAAGGAACTCCCACAAAGAGGTTGTGGTGTGCAGTCCACCGTTTGAGGGAGTCTAGTACACGTGCCGGAATGATGACTCGCTTCCCGAAGTTAGCCAGTGCTGCATTGCACGCATACTGGACAACATACATAATAGCTGCCATGTGGCCCAGCAATTCAAGACTAATTTCTCAAATTTGCTGTTTGGTGGTCTGCGATCCGGAGGAGTATGCTTGAGGTGGGCGCTTCTTCTGGGGTCGCTGCCTGGATCAGCTATAGTTATATGGCTTCTGCAGGGGGCTGTAATAGCAGTCCCTATTCTATTATAAGGAGTGCATCTCTTTCTGCGGCATGGTGGTGTGTACATGCCAAGAGTGCGATGCATGGTGCGAGAGTCCTTACTGCTATGCAGGATCTCATCTGTGTTTGCTGCGAATAGCTTCTGTTTATTGAAAGAGAGATCTTCCACTTTCATCTGTAAGTCTTTAGGCACCCCGGCTCCATATAACCAGGAGGAGGCTCTCCTCCTCACCACAGCTGTGGCCACCGCTCTGGCCGCCATGTTAGCAACATCTATGGTTGCTAGTAGAGTAGTGCGGGTGATAGTGTGTCCCTCATGAACAATTGCCATGAGAATTGGCCTTCTGGAGTTGGGCAGGTGTTCCATGAGTTCAGCCAGCTTAGAATAATTATCAAAATCATGGTTAGCCAACAGTGCAGAGCAGTTTGCTATTCTAAGTTGCAGCGTGGCTGATTAATAGGTCTTCCTGCCAAAGATGTCTAGCTTCTTGTACTCCTTGTTATTGTTTGCAGATCTGACCTGAGGGGCCTTGCGAGTGTTGATTCACTGCACTCACCACCGGTGAGTTTCGCCGGGGGTGGGGAAAAAAGAAAATCCAGGTCTTTGGGAAGGACAAAATACTTTATATCTGCTTTTCTGCAGGTGGGATGTACTGAGGAGGGTGTCCACCAAATGTCATCAGATACCTCCATTATTGTATCATCAATAGGGAGAGTGATCTTTCCTTGAGAGGACAGGAAAACGTTCTGTAAGAGGCGATGTTTTTCTCTTACTTTCTGGAGTTGAACCTCCTGGCTAATGGCTACTCTTTTAAAAAGTTCTTGGAACTGTTTTAGGTCATCTATAGAGTTGGATGCTTCTGGTGTCGCAGTCTCATCGAAGGGTGAGGATGAATTGTCCTCGAATGTCTGCCGTTCTTGTGTGACACTATCACAGTCAGGGATTTGACCCTCTTCATCCTCCTCCGAGTCTACCAAAGCCGGAAGGGTATGGATTGGAGAGGCTGGAGGGAGCCTCCTAGGCGAGACAGATGTGCTCCTAGGATGGCGTCTGTGGGGCTCCCAATAGTCCCACGATGTCCACCAGGGAGGGGGTAGTAGAGAGGGAGATGTTGCCATTCTGGGTACCAATGAGGATAGTGAAGTCTTTCATTTAATCAGTTTTGACATTACCATGAATGTTGGAGATGAATGTTGTGAAGAAAAAACACTGCCTTGATCGTATTCAGCAGCTGCAATGTTCCTCTGTGTCAGTGGAGGCCAGTGTCAAATAGGTATGGACCTACTGAGTCAGTTGAAAACAGGGGAGCCCCATTTGGGAGTGTGGGGGGAGGAGGAGAGCTCAGCTGAGTGTTGTAATCTTCAGGTGTTAATATAGTATTATCCTGCATTTGCACAGGGTTTTTATCCTGCTGCAACTGTGTTAAAGCCTCCAATGGGGAGGGCTTCCCTGTAGATGGCTCAAGAGGCAGTGTTGAGGATTTGCAGAGCCATTTGGAAGGCGGTTCTGTAGTTCTTGGCAGCGAATGCTGCGGCGCTGATTTCTGTAGTGCTGTGGTCTGCCAGCACGGTCCTTCCGGTGCCACTGCTGAGCATGCCAACCCCGAGTTGGTGGGGGTTGTGGCTGCTGCGGTGCCTAGTAAAGATTTTGCAGCCAACTTCTCTGGTGCATGCCACACATCCCCGGTGGTCAACCTGGGGGACAGCTTTGTAGGCAGCAATCTGGCAGGCGAGACTGTTGCCCTGCAATGTTTGTGGGGCAATGGTGACACAGACCTGTGCTTCAGGTCTCCATGCCTCACAGCTAGTTCAGGCTGCTCTGAGGGTTGCAGTGTCCTTTCAAACATGATCATGCAGAGCTGCATTTCATGGTCCTTCCTGGCCCTGGCCGTGAGGCTCCTGCAATGGTCACATTTTTGGGAGGAGTATGTGCCTCCTCCAAACATCATATGCAGGAATCATGCCCATCTGATGCTGGCATGGGTTCCTTACATTGTATACACTTTTTAAAGCCCTGAGGGGCTGGGCATGGTCGGTTGTCGTTAAGGCTCGGGTGCCTTCTTTTCCCTCTTTTTGAGGTAGAGAGACAGAGACAGACAGAGAAAACCTGGCTGAGGGAGTGAGGTGGTCCATCAGCTGAAACAGCATGCTTGTTTGTTTGTTTTTTTGGAGCTGTATCAATTGATCAATTAAGGGCAATAGCCCAGAAGGAAGAGCAATTAAATAGCAAGTATGTGTGAAGAGACAACGCCTGAGGTGAGAGATCAGAGCTCCATCCACAACCAAGAGTGGTTGAAGAGGAACTGAAGGGGGGTAGGGGTCAGGCTGCTGCATGAGGCGCCAACTGTCAGCAGCGCGAGGCACCTACTGCACGTGTGCAGCTCAACTGTCAACTGCTACGAAAAGCTCCGAACTGCAGCTCCGGGGATCACCCATCACCAAAGTGGAGCACCCATGGGGACATCACCTGAAGAACTGCTAATACTGGTGGTGGTAGCTCCCAGCCGCCACGGTGAGTGCAGAGGGAAAGGGGCTGACCACTGTTGTCACTGGGTAACATTCCTCACCCCTATGCCTGCAGATGGGGTGCAATGGGGAGGATAGGAGAGACCTGTGAATACCCGAAATCCAAATAGTGATTCTGTGAATTGCAAGGGTTTCTTATAGTGTATTTTGGGCATATAGATAGGGTTGTGCTATATAATATGCTAAACAACACACTAAATTCCACTGATATTGCACAAAAAAAAAAAAAAACAAAAGTGTAGAGTAAGTTGAGGGTCCAAAAGGGCCTTACCTCTTTCCATAAGATATGATCAAGTGCATGAAGAAAAAAAGCAAGACTTCTCTTTTCCTTAGGCCAAAAAATATATCCCCCTTCTTTCTAATCAGAGTGAACATAGCCTACCAGGTCATAAGTTCCTAGGAGTTTTGTTTTCAATAGTTGAGACAGACAGGTCAGCATCCCAAAGAATCTCCAGAAGTTTTGCTTACCCTCACCACCCCCATAAGACAAGGTGTCCTCACCACAAATTTCTCCGCCAGTTTGTAATAAACAAAATCCAGACCCTGTGGATGATGAGTCACCGACACAGTTCGCCCTCCACACTGAACAGACTTTCCAGAGAGCAGGTTATTGATTTTGTCAAATATCTCTCTCAGCTGAGAGCCTGTGAATATATCATCAAGAGTGCATGGACACACAAAAGATTAGAAAGTTGCCAACAAGCAAGCCTCAAACAAACCACATGAGCAGCAGTAAAACTAGCACCAGATTCTGAAGGGAGAGGGTAAAAATCCTCAAGCCCAGGTCACTGTTAATATTTCTAACGCTAATCACTAGAACTGAATTGTGCTGAACAGGAAGACGACCCCTCCCACCAGGGGAAAATACTCTCCCAACCGCAAATAAAAGTTCAGACAGCAAAGATATGGTCTCTACACACACAAGCTCTCCAAGGGTGTGTCTAAACTACATGGCTCCATCGATGGAGCCATGTAGATTAGGCTGATCGGCAGAGGGAAATGAAGCTGCAATTTAAATAATCGCAGCTTCATTTAAATTTAAATGGCTGCTGCGCTGAGCCGACAAACAGCTGATCAGCTGTTTGTCGGCTCAGCGCAGCAGCCATTTAAATTTAAATGAAGCTGCGATTATTTAAATTGCAGCTTCATTTCCCTCTGCCGATCAGCCGGGGTCGACAAAGGCTTCCTTTGTCAACCATGCTGCGTCTAGACTGCTGCACTGTGCCGGATCAATTGATTATCGGCATAGCGCGGTGGCCATTTTTATTGTAATGAAGCGGGGATTATTTAAATCCCCGCTTCTTTGACTATTCTGAATAAACTATTTTACATGACTCTGTCGACGGAGCCACATAGTCTAGACGTACCCCAATGGAATAGCAATGCAGAGATAGAAGGCAGCCTCAGTGTGCCTCAGATAACAGCATCTCAGGTGGGATTTTTTTCAGCATTTTCCTGACCTGCTATCGTAGAAATCTGGCTCACAGGAATGCTGGCTGCTTTTTGGAGATCCATTCTGATATTCTTCACCTGCAGAAGATTGTAATAAGCTGTTAAAATCATTTCCTGATCAAGCCTAAAGAGGCAGATTACCACAGGGAAGACACTGCTCATGAGTGGTCCAATTCTACAAGGCTGCATTCAGCATTAACTCCCATTGATTTTAATGGAAGTTAAGAGCACTCAGACACAAAGGAGGCATACAGATCCTTGCCTTTTAAGTCAGCAACGTGCCAGTCTCCTGCACAAAAAAGATTTAATGACTAATGGAGCCTCCTTGAAGATGAAAGGATGGTATGTAATTAGGACTTGATCACATTTCCCAGGCTGCCAGTCATTCGGAGGGGGGATAGCTCAGTGGTTTGAGCATTGGCCTGCTAAAACCAAGGATGTCAGTTCAATCCTTGCAGAGGCCATTTAAGGATTTGGGGCAAAAATTTGTCAGGGGTGGTACTTGGTCCTGCTGTGAAGGCAGGGGACTGGACTCTATGACCTTTCAAGGTCCCTTCCAGTTCTAGGATAGGCAATCTCCATTATCATATTATTATTATCTTGAAAAGCTTGCAAATGAAGTATCTGATTTTTCAAAGATAGAAAACAAGTATATATTATGCATTGGGGAAGAGGTAGACACATTGAAGGACAGGGATAGGATCCAGAGTGACAGACAAATTAGAGGATTGGGCCAAAAGAAATCTGAGGCTCAACAAGGACAAGTGCAGAATCCTGCACTTGGGACGGAAGAATCCCAAGCATTGTTATAGGCTGGGGATCAACTGGCTAAGTAGCAGTTCAGCAGAAAAGGACCTGGGGATTACAGTGGATATGATTCAACAGTGTGCCCTTGTAGCCAAGAAGGCTAATGGCATATTAGGGTGCATTAGGAGGATCATTGCCAGCAGATCTAGAGAAGTTATTATTCCCCTTCATTCAGCACTGGTGAGACCATATCTGGAGTGTGGAGGCAGGAAAAGGGAATAAGGGAATTTGTGTGCAGCCATCTCGGTCTTGTTAATAAGAGAGCAAGAGTCAGGCTAAGTCTGTGGCCTGACAACGCGAGATCTGTAATTAGACGCTGCCTTTGACGCTGCCTTTGCCTCTCGCCTCCAAACAGAGATAAGGATAGAATGCTGACTCTGGTAGGGACCTTGAGATAAGGAGCATCTGGATGGAACTAAATAACTGTTAGCCATTGGTGTTTGTAATGGGAAGGAGACTAATTGTTATTGTTATTATATTTAATAGACAGTATATAAATTGCTTCATAATTGCTTGTATTCGAAGATCTGCCTCGGGAGGGGGGGGGCCCCCCCCTGTCCAAACCAGTTTTTCCCTTGCTGCAGCTTGTAATAAAACTGCCTCTGGCTACTTGTTGCTTACAAACTCAGAGTGAGGACAATGTTTTCTTCCACAGGAGTACTGCATCCAATTCTGGGGCCCCCACTACAAAAAGTATATGGATGCATTGGAGAGGGTCCAGTGGAAGGCAACCAAGATGATTAGGGGGCTGGAGCACTTGACCTATGAGGAGCAGCTGAGGGATTTGGGCTTATTTAGTCTGCAGAAGAAAAGTGTGAGGGGGAATTTGATAGCAGCCTTCTACTTCCTGAAGGGAGGTTCCAAAAATGATGGACAGAGGCTGTTCTCACTAGTGACAGATGGCAGAACGAGGAGCAATGGTCTCAAGTTATAGTGGGGGAGATCTAGGTTGGATATTGGGAAAAACTATTTCACTAGAAGGGTGGTAAAGTACTGGAATGGTTTACCTAGCGAAGTGGTGGAATCTCGGTCCCTAAATGTTTAAGTCTCAGCTTGACAAAGACCTGGTGGGGATAATGTAGTTGGGGTTGGTCCTGCTTTGGACAGTGGGCCGGACTCGATGACTTCCTGAGGACTCTTCCAGTCCTAGGATTCTATGATTCCATTGAGAGGGCAACATCAAATCAACAGCATCTAGACCAGTTGTCTCCAACCTTTTTAACCTCAAGATCACTTTTTCAACTTAAGTGCAAAGTAAGATCTACCTCAAACCCAAATATTCTTACCCCACTTCCCTCCCACCCCTTCTTTGAGGCCCTGTCCCTGCTCTACCCTTCTCCATGGCCTCACCCTGCTCACTCCATCCCCTTTCATCCCCCATCCTCACTCACTTTCACCAGGCTGGGGTACAGGTGCAGGCTCTTGTCTTGGGCCAAGGAGTTTGGAGTGTAGGAAGGGCACTGGGCTAAGCCCAAGATGGGAGATTGGGGTCCAGGAGGCATTTCAGGGTGCAAGTTCTGGGAAGGATTTTGGGTGCAGGGGATGCACATCTGGGGCAGGAGATTGGGTGCAGGAAGTGGTTCATGGCTGGGACAGAGGTTCAGGAAGCAGGCTCTGGCTAGGCACTGTTAAACTGAGATGGCTTCTGGGTGGTGGAGCAATGGAGTTAAGGCAGGCTTACTCCTTCCCAGGGTGCCCCCCTCCTGAAAGCAGATGGCATGTAGAGCAATTGCTCGATGGCACCATGTGCTGACCCTCATCGACAGGAACTGAGCCCACAGCCTCTACTGGCCACAGTTCCCCATTCTTGATCAATGGGAACCGCAGGAGTGGTGTCTGCAGACAAGAACAGCATGTGGAAACCCCCTGCTCTGCCTCTCAGGGGCTGCAGAAACATGCCCACCCAGTATGTGTTGGGTTGGGAGATGCGAGTGAAGGATAGTGAGAGTTTGTGAGAATGAGAGAGAGACGCAAGAGATGAGAGTGAAGGATAGTGAGAGTTTGTGAGAATAAGAGAGAGACGCAATGTGTGTGTGTGAGTGACAGATTTGCATTGCCAAGTTCCCTCCATCCCCTTCTCTCTGTGTGGAGATAGGGACACTCTAACATCAGTGTCCTCACCCTCCTACACCCTTAACAGCAAGCAGGCGACTCCCAGGGAGGCCGCTCCAAAGCAGAGGGCAGGAGCAGCCTGATAGTGGGTGGAGGGGCAATGGAAGTGCCAGCGCTTGATAGTTTCCTGGCCAAACCATTCACGATCACCTGTCAGAGGCTCCAAGATCTACCGGTCGATGACCACTGGTCTAGGCTTTGCTCTGCTATAGCATTTTTTAATTAGAAATTGGGCATGTGCTCAAGCCTATAATGCAGCCAGAAACTTTTTCTGCAGTATTTTAAAAAAATTACTATGAAAGCACAGTAACTGCTGCTTAACATTTTCCCATCTCAAGGTTTCAACTTCATTAAAACCTAAACACTTCATTGAATCCATGGGATTTGTTAAACAAACACTATCAACTTAGGCTTAAATAAAGATCTTAACTGGTTAACACACTATAAAAGGCCATTTCCCCATTTTTGATATTCGCATTGCCACATCAAATGCTGTGAATGACACATTTACCCTGACAATTAGCTTAATTAACACTGATCTACAATTGATAAGTAACTTCTTTTGCTCTGTTATATACCCTGGATTCTGTATTTTCCATTTCAACTCATTGACGAAGTGGATTTTACTCTCAAAATCTCATGATCTAATACATTTATTAGTCTCTAAGGGTATGTCTACACTACAAAGTTAATTCGAATTAACTTTCATAGTCGCTTCACATGCAAACCGCTAGTTCGACCTTAATTCAAACTAGTGGAGCGCTTAATTCGAACTAGGTAAACCTCGTTCTACGAGGACTAATGCCTAGTTTGAATTAAGGGCTGTGTAGCCACTTAATTCGAACTAGTGGGAGGCTAGCTCTTCCCAGCTTGCCCTGGCGGCCACTCTGGGACAAGCTAGGGAAACTCTTCTGCCCCCCTCCCGGCCCCGGAGCCCTTAAAGGGGCACGGCCTGGCTACGGTGCCCGTGCCAGGTGCAAGCCTGCCAGCACCCAGCCAGCAGACCCTGCACCTGGCACGGCACAAGCCAGCCACCCCCTACTACCCAGCCCTCCTCCTCTTCCCGGGACCAGGCTGGTGGCTCCCAGGAGAATGCCCAGGGCTGCAAGAGGCGGGCACCTGCCTGGTCAAGTGCGGAGATCGTGGACCTCATCCAGGTTTGTGGGGAGGCCTCCAACGTCCACGATCTCTGCACTAGCCACAGGAATGCGGCCGTCTACAGCCACATGGCTGACAGCCTGGACCCGGGAGCAGGTCCGCTGCAAAATCAAGGACCTGTGGCAGGCCTACTCCATGGACCACATCCTGAGGGCTCACGCAGTCCATGCCCCCTAGGTGGTGATCAACTCCAGGACAGAGGGACCCATCCCTGACAAAGAGGAGGAGGAGGAGGATGCCGACAGCCAGGAGCCTGCAAGGAGCCTGCCCAGGACCCAGAACCCCTGAAGCACCCCAAAGAGCAGATCGGCTGTGTCGTCCAAGGCCGGGGAGGGCTCCACATGTGAGTGCCATCATGATCCCCTTCTGTGTATGGAGGGGTGGGGGTAGAGGGAGCCCAGGGACCGTGCGCCTGGGCCTGGCCCACCATGGAGCAGCAGCTAGGTATCATGCAGGGGCCCTGGCCCATTCCCCACATGCCGACCTCATCCTGCAGAGTGGGGCTGGGTTTCACCCACCTTGTCCCTAGGGAGAACTGACCACTGCTCTTGTTTCACCACGGCTGCAGCACCTGGGACTGCAGGGTGCACCACCCTGCCTGCAACAGCCACCTGCACCCAGGCCAGCAGGTGCACCCGCAACCTGGAGAACTACCACCGGCAGCACCTGCGGCTACTGGAGC